ATAAAACATGTAAAATTCTATAAACAGACCAAAAGTATGCACAAAAAATAAATTAATCTAAATAAAGAAGTATAAAATACAGATTAAAACTAAAATTAATGCGCTTAAACTAATCAATAAAACTATTAATACTGTTTCTTCGCGGTGATCGGGATTGAGCACTCGATAACAAAGTTCCGTTAAACAGACATCTTTCGGCTGCTGTGTTGAATGGAGATTGCCTCTCCTGAAGGCAAACATCTTCCCATTCCACAGCAAATCATGTGCGTTTAAATTTATAGGTTAAAATCTGCAAAACAAATCACAAAAATATTTTATCGACGCATTCATGAGATAGCACATATACTGAAAAAAAGGGCATGAAAATAAATAAACAAAATAATAAGCATGTGAAACTGACCCCTTCCACTGCATATTTCATTCCCAAAGCATTGAAAAATCGTTTTATTCCTCCATTTCTTTAAGATTCGCAGGTAAGCAAGCATCCAGTGCTTTCAAATCCATGTTATTTCGCAACACTAATGATTCCTATCATGATCATCGAATTCGGAAACTGAGACGAGAAGCAGGAATCAGCCTCCTTCACAATAAGCCATATCCTTAATCGCGAGTCGACTGTTCTAGTCCCTTGTCTGATTTTCCTCTTCTAGTGACTTTCGGTAGAGCAGCCATCTTTTCAGCTGCTGATGTTGAATGGAGATTGCCCTTCCTGAATGCAAATAGTCTTCCATACCATGTAAACCACCATTAATCATGGAATATTTTATATTTTCACACGATAACTTTGAGCTCCATTCCTTGTTAGAGAAGTTCATATCCATGATTTCAAAGCCGTGATTTTAGTGTTTTTGTCCACAAATCAGTGGACAGTTCCATAAAAAAATTATTCCGCTGTCTAAAGTTTTTCATTGATGCATTTCTTCTCGCATGCATGCCACTTCCCGCATGAGTGCTTCTTCCCGCATGCATGCTACTTCTCGCATGCATGCTTCATCTTGCATGCATATAATTCTCGCACGCATTCTGCTTCTCGCATGCGTGCTTCTTCGCGGATGTATTCTACTCGAGAAAGTCGTCTCCATTCATTGCTTGAGACTTGAATCACATACCTTATTTTCATGACTCGAATATGGACCATTAAACATCCAATTTTGCGATCGCTTATAGTCAGGCGAAAAAAAATCACGAAACCATTAATTGCCACATTCATTCTCAATAACGTATTGAGCAGTGTGGCAAATTTACTTAAATTTCGGATAAAATCTTCATAATAAATAACTACTCATGCGTCCCGCGTAGTACAGTGGCACCAGCAAACTCATTCCACTTGTGTATCAAACAACCGTGCCACTGAGCTTCTTGCGATGTGCATCAAAATTAATGTAACGAGAAGCCATTTGTATGGCTACCATATTTATCTGAATTACCTGAAATAAGTTAAATTAAACAATTTGATCTACATTATAGTATAATAGAAC